CCAGAGACCAGAGACTCAGGGACCAGAGACCAGAGACTCAGGGACCAGAGACCCAGGGACCAGAGACCAGAGACTCAGGGACCAGAGACCCAGGGACCAGAGACCAGAGACCAGAGACTCAGGGACCAGAGACCCAGGGACCAGAGACCAGAGACTCAGGGACCAGAGACCAGAGACCAGAGACCCAGGGACCAGAGACCAGAGACCAGAGACCCAGGGACCAGAGACCAGAGACCAGACACTCAGGGACCAGCATCAAAAATAGATAAGGGTCAAGAGAATGTCAGTGCAGAAAGATGCTCAAAATGTCAAAAGATGGAAATGAGTTCTGGAACAAAATCCACAAAATGGTGGCATTAAGTCTGAGTCTGTGTATGCTAACGTTAGCTTCTTTATCAGGCTACAGTTACAGATGTTTTAGTACAGTTACTGTTCTGTAACTGGTGATGCAACACTGACATTTCCCCACCATGGGACCAATAAACGATCTCTTAATCTTAATCTTAGTGTCAGGATTGGATCAGATACTTTCAACTAGAGAAGGAGAGGAGGAACCGACATTTTGAAATGAGACCTATGCTATGTGTTGAATTAAAAAAGCCAGGTTTGATGGAGCACCTGTCGACAGATGTGTTTCCTCTGTCAGCTGCTTAGTGGTTAACAGCATGATGCCCTCAAAAAAGGTGATGGGATTAAAAAGACAGGCGTTAGTGGAAATCCCGGAGTCTTGCCCCTGACACTCCCTCCATTCCTGCTTACCTTGCACTGAAGAGGACACGTGTTTATGTATGTGAGCAGGCCATTGCAGTAGTCTAACCCACTGGAAACAAATGCATGGATAAGAATCTCCAAGTCTGCTTTAGACACTATGTTTTTGATCCTGGCAATGTTTTTTAGATGGTAAAAAGCTGCTGATGTTACTGATTTGATGTGGCTATTAAAATTTAAGTCTGAGTCCAGTATTACCCCTAGATTTCTGACCTTGTTTGAAGGTTTTAGGGAGAGAGACTGTAGGTGACAGATGACGCTCTCTCTTTGTTTCTGGGGACCAAAGACAATCATTTCAGTTTTGTCTGCGTTTAGCTGAAGGAAGTTGTTTTGCATCCACTCACTGATCTGTTGGATACAGTGAAGGAGTGAGTCCACTGGTCCATGTTCTCCTGCAGTCAGTGAGACATAGATCTGAGTGTCGTCTGCATAGTTATGATAGGAAACTTCGTTTCTGCGTATTAACTGACCTAACGGCAGCATGTAGAGATTGAACAGAAGAGGTCCCAGGATCGACCCCTGTGGTACTCCACAGGTCAGGGCCATATGATCTGAGACACAGTTTCCAATCTCCACAAAGTACTTCCTGTCTTCAAGGTAAGACCTAAACCAACTTAGGGCGGTGCCAGTGACGCCAACCCAGTCCTCTAGTCTCTGTAAGAGGATCTCATGGTCGACGGTGTCAAAGGCAGCACTCAGATCTAACAGGATTAGGATTGAGACTTTGCCTGCGTCAGTGTTCAGCCGGATATCGTTTGTAACCTTAACGAGAGCAGTCTCAGTGCTGTGGTGAGAGTTATTTATTATTAGAAAATTAGTAAGTTGTTCGTAGGCGACATTTCAAAGATTTCTTCCTAAGGAAGATTTGAAATGGGGCGGTAAGTAAGTACGTGACATCCAGGCTGGTCTTTTTTAGGCCAGTCCAGTGAAATACTGAGTCTTACCTACGTAACCATATGTTGAATTAAAGAGGACTGTTTAACACTAGTCTTGAACGTACAGACTGTGCCGTGGATGAGGAGCTGTTCATCAGGATCCTTCACATCAAGAGACGCACATTCTTCTTTGTATCCGTCCTCAGCTCATGATATTCCCTGGTCACGTGACCTGATGTGAGGTGCCTCAGAGGAATCCTGAGTGTCCCAGGACGGTCTGTGCCACAACAGCTGTGTCACATAACCTCTCATTTCCACAGCTGTGGAAACTCAACAGCTCAGTTTCTGCTTTGGACTCAGTGATATCTGACTTCTCAGAACAGAACCATCCAGAACAAGATGCTGTTTTCAGAGAGTCATGTTTGAGTCTTTCTCCTTCGCCCGGGCTCCTCTGTACAGCAGGCCTGGATATGGAAGTGAGTCTTGGATTACTCTTTTAGATCAATATTGAGATGAGCTGATTGGCTGAGTCACGATGGTCCTCTCTTTTTCACTTTTCCGTGACAGAGGCTAGAAACACACGCATGTGAACTCCACACTCATCAAGTAACTCTTTCCCTACTCTGAACCCTAACCCTGACTATAGCCTAACCTTAACCCTCACCGTGACCTCTAACCCCTGACCCTAGCCTCACCTTCACCCAGTCAAACATTGCTCCTGGACAAACCTTGATCTTGAACAGTTGGTTCTTTGGTGTTGTCACAGATCTACAGTGAAGTGCCAAACTGTGGTTGTGTCCTTAGGCAAGACACTTCCCCCACATTAGAATGAGTCTGGTGTGTGTGTGAATGGTTGGTGGTGGGAGGGGCTGATGACACAGACCGGTTGCCTCACTTCTGTCAGTGTGCCCCAGGGCAGCTGTGGCTACAGTAGAATACATGCAGATCTATTGTATATTTAACTGTATATAACAGTATATATTTAACCGTATAGATATATAGTAGTGTATATTTAACAGTATATAACAGTACAGATGCAGTAGTATATATATTAACAGTATAGATGTATATATATAACAGTAGATGTATATATATTAACAGTATAGATGTATAGTAGTGTATATTTAACAGTATATAACAGTACAGATGCAGTAGTATATACAGTGCCTTGCAAAAGTATTCGGCCTCCTTGAACCTTTCAACATTTCGCCACATTTCAGGCTTCAAACATAAAGATATAAAAATTTAATTTTTTGTCAAGAATCAACAACAAGTGGCACACAAACGTGAGAAGTGGAACGAAATTTATTGGATAATTTAACTTTTTTAACAAATAAAAAACTGAAAAGTGGGGCGTGCAATATTATTCGGCCCCCTTGCGCTAATACTTTGTAGCGCCACCTTTTGCTGCAATTACAGCTGCAAGTCGCTTGGGGTATGTCTCTATCAGTTTTGCACATCGAGAGACTGGATTTCTTGCCCATTCTTCCTTGCAAAACAGCTGGAGCTCAGTGAGGTTGGATGGAGAGCGTTTGTGAACAGCAGTCTTCAGCTCTTTCCACAGATTCTCGATTGGATTCAGGTCTGGACTTTGACTTGGCCATTCTAACACCTGGATACGTCTATTTGTGAACCATTCCATTGTAGATTTGGCTTTATGTTTTGGATCATTGTCCTGTTGGAAGATAAATCTCCGTCCCAGTCTCAGGTCTTTTGCAGACTCCAACAGGTTTTCTTCCAGAATGGTCCTGTATTTGGCTCCATCCATCTTCCCATCAATTTTAGCCATCTTCCCTGTCCCTGCTGAAGAAAAGCAGGCCCAAACCATGATGCTGCCACCACCATGTTTGATAGTGGGGATGGTGTGTTCAGGGTGATGAGTTGTGTTGCTTTTATGCCAAACATATCGTTTTGCATTGTGGCCAAAAAGTTCGATTTTGGTTTCATCTGACCAGAACACCTTCTTCCACATGTTTGGTGTGTCTCCCAGGTGGCTTGTGGCAAACTTTAAACGAGACTTTTTATGGATATCTTTGAGAAATGGCTTTCTTCTTGCCACTCTTCCATAAAGGCCAGATTTGTGCAGTGCACGACTGATTGTTGTCCTATGGACAGACTCTCCCACCTCAGCTGTAGTTATCTGCAGTTCATCCAGAGTGATCATGGGCCTCTTGGCTGCATCTCTGATCAGTCTTCTCCTTGTTTGAGATGAAAGTTTGGAGGGACGGCCGGGTCTTGGTAGATTTGCAGTGGTCTGATACTCCTTCCATTTCAATATAATTGCTTGCACAGTGCTCCTTGAGATGTTTAAAGCTTGGGAAATCTTTTGTATCCAAATCCGGCTTTAAACTTCTCCACAACAGTATCTCGGACCTGCCTGGTGTGTTCCTTTGTCTTCATGGTTCTCTCTGCGCTTTAAACAGAACCCTGAGACTATCAAAGAGCAGGTGCATTTATTCGGAGACTTGATTACACACAGGTGCATTCTATTTATCATCATCAGTCATTTAGGACAACATTGGATCATTCAAAGATCCTCACTGAACTTCTGGAGTGACTTTGCTGCACTGAAAGTAAAGGGGCCAAATAATATTGCACGCCCCACTTTTCAGTTTTTTATTTGTTAAAAAAGTTTAAATAATCCAATAAATGTCGTTCCACTTCACGATTGTGTCCCACTTGTTGTTGATTCATGACAAAAAATTAAAATGTTATATCTTTATGTTTGAAGCCTGAAATGTGGTGAAATGTTGAAAGGTTCAAGGGGGCCGAATACTTTCGCAAGGCACTGTATATATAACAGTATAGATGTATATACTGTATATAACAGCAGATGTATATATATTAACAGTATAGATGTATATATATTACAGTAGATGTATATATATTAACAGTATAGATGTATAGTAGTGTATAGGATGATGTCACAGAGCACAGCTGGTGTTGTGGCGCTGACGGAGGCTCATCACTAATGAGGCACCGCCGCTCACCGTGGATAAAAACACTTTCTCACCGTGGATAAAAACACTTTCTCACCGTGGATAAAAACACTTTCTCACCGTGGATAAAAACACTTTCTCACCGTGGATAAAAACACTTTCTCACCGTGGATAAAAACACTTTCTCACCGTGGATAAAAACACTTTCTCACCGTGGATAAAAACACTTTCTCACCGTGGATAAAAACACTTTCTCACTCCAGTTGTGCCGAACTCAACGCTCACGGTCTTTTACCTCTTTTGGAGATCTGTGTTTTGTTTTGTTAATTGGGGTGTGGTCTGCAGGTGTTAATTGGGGTGTGGTATGTGTGTGTTGATTGGGGTGTGGTCTGTGTGTTAATTGGGGTGTGGTCTGCAGGTCTGTCCATCCGCAGTGTGTGCTGGAGAGCGGACCGGATCCTGGCCGGGACCCAGGACAGTGAGATCTTCGAGGTGAGAGCTTTCAGAGGTTCAGTCTTACAGGACACATTCAGATTCAGATTCAGTTTATTTTCCATTTGCAGTAAAAAAAAAACCACATAGGAATACATTAGCAAAAGTCTCCAGTGTGCACAGACAAATACAGACAATAAAAGACAGAAATAAAACATATAAAACAGTAAACAAAAGTCACTGTGAAATGGATCGACTAAAACAGTTCAAAACAAGTGCAAATCATTAAAATGCTCTGTTCACACTGATAACAGCTTGTGGATAAAAACTGTTAGCGTAACGAGATGTCCTGCATCTCAGAGAGCGATATCTTCTGCCAGAGGGAAGAAGCTGGAACATGGCTTTCCCAGGGTGGCCAGAAGAGTCATTAACAATCCTAAGAGCTTTGTTTAAAAGTCTGGATTTATAAAGAACCTCCAGAACAGGAAGCTCACAGCCCACGGTCCTCTTTGCAGAGCGGAGCACCTTGTTTAAAGCTCTCTTTTCTTTATCTGTGATGTTTCCAAACCACACAGACACAGAACCAACAAGTAAACTCTCAATGGTGCAGCCATAAAAGTTAAGCACAATCTTAGAGTTAGTGGTAAATTCTCTAAGTTTACGCAGAAAGTAGAGACGCTGACGAGCTTTCTTAACGATTGTTTTTAACCCATTTCAGGTCGTTAGACAGAGTTAATTGAAGACATGGAAGATTATGAAACATTTTAAACATTGTTCTTAGAAGCTAATGCTAACATAAGATAAATAATGTAATTTAAAGTGTGTAAGTGTAAGACACGGTCATCTATCTACGTTAAAGTCAGTCTGGATTCATCTGTAGCATCAGCCGGCCCAGAGCATACAGCTGACATTAGCATCTGTGCTATAACCTGCTACGACACATTTCTCCCTCGTGTTAATGTTTAAGTGTACACTGTCCCTGTTCAAATTAAGTACCTACCAAACCATACCATACCATATCATACCGTACCAGACCATACCATACGATACCATACCATACCATACCAGACCATACCAGACCATATCATACCGTACCAGACCATACCATACATACCATACCATACCAGACCATACCAGACCATACCATATCATACCATACCATACCAGACCATGCCATACCATACCATACCATACCATACCATACCATACCATACCATACCAGACCATGCCATACCATACCATACCATACCATATCATACCATACCAGACCATACATACCATACCATACCAGACCATACCAGACCATATCATACCGTACCAGACCATACCATACCATACCATACCATACCAGACCATACCAGACCATACCATATCATACCATACCATACCAGACCATGCCATACCATACCATACCATACCATACCATACCATACCATACCATATCATACCAGACCATACATACCATACCATACCATACCATACCAGACCATGCCATACCATACCATACCATACCATACCATATCATACCATACCAGACCATACATACCATACCATACCAGACCATACCAGACCATGCCATACCATACCAGACCATGCCATACCATACCAGACCATGCCATACCATACCAGACCATACCAAACCATACCATATCATACCAGACCATACATACCAAACCATACCATACATACCAAACCATACCATACCTTACCATACCATTACAAGACCACACCAGACCATACCAGACCATACCAGACCAGACCAGACCAGACCAGACCATACCAGACCAGACCATACCAGACCATGCCATACCATACCATACCAGGCCATACCAGACCATGCCATACCAGACCATGCCATACCATACCAGACCAGACCATACCAGACCAGGCCATACCAGACCATGCCATACCATACCAGACCAGACCATACAATACCAGACCAGACCAGACCAGACAATACCATACCAGACCAGACCAGAAACTTTTGTCATTCAGCCAACTCCACCTCGGTTATAGCTAATGAGAAATCTTAAAACAAACATACACCTGCACACTCAGTCTTCAGTGAGCCTGTGTGTGTGTGTCCTGTTGTGTGTGTGTGTGTGTGTGTGTGTCTGTGTGTGTTGTGTGTGTGCAGGTGATGGTGCGGGACCGGGACAAGCCTCTGCTGCTGATGCAGGGCCACAGTGAGGGGGAGCTCTGGGCTCTGGACGTTCACCCCAAGAAGCCGCTGTGTGTGACGGGCAGTGACGACCGCTCCGTCCGGTCAGTGTCCACCGCCACTCCCCGTTTACAGCTCTAAGTCACTACAGAACCCTCATTTCCAGACTATAAGCCTGGAACTATTTTTATCTAGTTCTTTGATCACTGCGCTTTATAAAGTGATGCAGCTAATGTCATTTATTCAACAATTTTTTAGTGTGGCAGAGTCGGGCTGTTGTCAGAGCAGAATGGACTCATTATTTTGACTCCAGCTTTAGCAGCTACAGGACACTGGATTATTGTCAGAACAGATGAAGGTGAAGGAAGTTTGAAGCCTCCAATAGCCTCCGACCGCCTCCGACCGCCTCCGACAGCCTCCGAGAGCCTCCGACAGCCCCCCGACAGCCCCCCGACAGCCCTCCGACGGCCTCCGACAGCCTCCAACAGCCTCCGACCGCCTCCGACAACCTCCGACCGCCTCCGACAGCCTCCGACAGGCTCCGACAGCCTCCGACAGCCTCCGACCGCCTCCGACAGCCTCCGACAGCCTCCGACAGCCTCCGACCGCCTCTGACAGCCTCCGACAGCCTCCGACAGCCTCCGACAGCCTCCGACAGCCTCCGACCGCCTCTGACAGCCTCCGACAGCCTCCGACAGCCTACGACCGCCTCCGAGAGCCTCCGACCGCCTCCGACAGCCCCCCGACCGCCTCCGACAGCCTCCGACAGCCTCCGACAGCCTCCGACCGCCTCCGAGAGCCTACGACCGCCTCCGAGAGCCTCCGACCGCCTCCGACAGCCTCCGACAGCCTCCGACAGCCTCCGAGAGCCTCCGACCGCCTCCGACAGCCTCCGACAGCCTCCGACAGCCTCCGACAGCCTCCGACAACCCCCCGACCGCCTCCGACAGCCCCCCGACCGCCTCCGACAGCCCCCGACCGCCTCCGACCGCCTCCGACAGCCTCCGACAGCCTCCGACAGCCTCCGACAGCCTACGACCGCCTCCGAGAGCCTCCGACCGCCTCCGACAGCCCCCCGACCGCCTCCGACAGCCTCCGACAGCCTCCCGACCGCCTCCGAGAGCCTACGACCGCCTCCGAGAGCCTCCGACCGCCTCCGACAGCCTCCGACAGCCTCCGACAGCCTCCGACTGCCTCCGAGAGCCTCCGACCGCCTCCGACAGCCTCCGACAGCCTCCGACAGCCTCCGACAGCCTCCGACAGCCTCCGACAGCCTCCGACCGCCTCCGACAGCCTACGACCGCCTCCGAGAGCCTCCGACAGCCTCTGACAGCCTCCGACAGCCTCCGACAGCCTCCGACCGCCTCTGACAGCCTCCGACAGCCTCCGACAGCCTACGACCGCCTCCGAGAGCCTCCGACAGCCTCTGACAGCCTCCGACAGCCTCCGACAGCCCCCCGACCGCCTCCGACAGCCTCCGACAGCCTCCGACCGCCTCCGAGAGCCTACGACCGCCTCCGAGAGCCTCCGACCGCCTCCGACAGCCTCCGACAGCCTCCGACAGCCTCCGACCGCCTCCGAGAGCCTCCGACCGCCTCCGACAGCCTCCGACAGCCTCCGACAGCCTCCGACAGCCTCCGACCGCCTCTGACAGCCTCCGACAGCCTCCGACAGCCTCCGACAGCCTCCGACAGCCTCCGACAGCCTCCGACAGCCTCCGACCGCCTCTGACAGCCTCCGACAGCCTCCGACAGCCTCCGACAGCCTCCGACAGCCTACGACCGCCTCCGAGAGCCTCCGACCGCCTCCGACAGCCCTCCGACAGCCTCCGACAGCCTCCGACAGCCTCCGACCGCCTCCGAGAGCCTACGACCGCCTCCGAGAGCCTCCGACCGCCTCCGACAGCCTCCGACAGCCTCCGACAGCCTCCGAGAGCCTCCGACCGCCTCCGACAGCCTCCGACAGCCTCCGACAGCCTCCGACAGCCTCCGACAGCCTCCGACAACCCCCCGACCGCCTCCGACAGCCCCCCGACCGCCTCCGACAGCCCCCGACCGCCTCCGACCGCCTCCGACAGCCTCCGACAGCCTCCGACAGCCTCCGACAGCCTACGACCGCCTCCGAGAGCCTCCGACCGCCTCCGACAGCCCCCCGACCGCCTCCGACAGCCTCCGACAGCCTCCGACAGCCTCCGACAGCCTCCGACCGCCTCCGAGAGCCTACGACCGCCTCCGAGAGCCTCCGACCGCCTCCGACAGCCTCCGACAGCCTCCGACAGCCTCCGACTGCCTCCGAGAGCCTCCGACCGCCTCCGACAGCCTCCGACAGCCTCCGACAGCCTCCGACAGCCTCCGACAACTCCCCGACCGCCTCCGACAGCCCCCCGACCGCCTCCGACAGCCCCCGACCGCCTCCGACCGCCTCCGACAGCCTCCGACAGCCTCCGACAGCCCCCCCGACCGCCTCCGACAGCCTCCGACAGCCTCCAACCGCCTCCGACCGCCTCCGACAGCCTACGACAGCCTCCGACAGCCTCCGACAGCCTCCGACAGCCTCCGACAGCCCGCCTGTGTTGGTCGTAGCTTTTCTCCTGCTGTTTCCAAACAGTGTGGCTGCTCATGTACAAGTCTCATTTAGGGCAAAAACTGTGTCTCTTTTACTTTGTGGATGTTATTTTGTCCCCTTTGTGTGGTCCTATGTCACAGCAGCAGCTCGTACTCACCCAGAAAGTCACAGAAACATCAACTTTATGTTATACGTTTATGAAAAACAGACGCACTGCTCCCAAAGTTGTGCACAATCTTCCAAGAAGCAAGTTAAAGAACATAAACAGCAAAACAATTAGGAAAGTTCATTCAAATACTTACTGCAGCTGTAGATATGTACAGCTGTGTTAGCTTAGTGTTTAGCAGCAGAACATCGCACGCCACAATTTAGATTTGCAAGTGCAATACTGTGGATGTGACTTGAACTTGTGTGTCTGTGTGTGTGTGTGTGTCTGTGTGTGTGCGTGTCTCTGTGTGTGTGTGTGTGTCTCTGTGTGACTCTGTGTGTGTGTGTGTCTCTGTTTGACTCTGTGTGTGTGTGTCTCTGTGTGTGTGTGTGTGTGACTCTATGTGTGTGTCTCTGTGTGTGTGTGTGTGTGTGTGTGTGTGTGTGTGTGTGTGTGTGTGTGTGTGTGTGTGTGTGTGTGTGTGTGTGTGTGTGTGTGTGTGTGTGTGTGTGTGTGTGTGTGTGTGTGTGTGTGTGTGTGTGTGTGTGTGTGTGTGTGTGCGTGTCTCTGTGTGTGTGCAGCCTGTGGAGCCTGGTGGACCACGCCCTGATTGCTCGCTGTAACATGGAGGAGGCGGTCCGCAGTGTGGCCTTCAGTGTGGACGGGGCTCAGCTCGCTCTGGGCATGAAGGACGGATCCTTCACCGTGCTGCGGGTCAGGTACGCTCACCTCAGATTGAGACGCTCTCCTCAGACAGAGACGCTCTCCTCAGACAGAGACGCTCTCCTCAGATTGAGACGCTCTCCTCAGACAGAGACGCTCTCCTCAGATTGAGACGCTCTCCTCAGTCTGGTACGCTCTCCTCAGTTTGAGAACCCCCATGCTGTGTCCTTTAGGACTGAACCATCACAAAAATACACCACTTTATCAGGTACCTATCCAACTCCACTTTAATAATAATTCATAATCAGCCAATCATCAAATATATATATATAGTATTTATACTGTATATATATCTACATTATTTATACTGTATATATATATAGGACTGTTTCTACAGACTCACAGTGTTATAACCTGTGTGTTCAGGACACAGAGTAAGGAGAACATGCATCACTCTGTCTACAGCTGTAGAAAGTATAGTTTCTCTGTTTAGTCTGTGATTTAATCTTAAACTGTGGGATCCAGATTATAATCTCAACTCTGACAGAAAGTTCTTTCACTTATCCACAAAATGTGGAATTCTCTCTCTCTCTCCTCTTTCCTCATTCTCTCTGCTCTCCTCATCCTCTCCTCATCCTCTCTCTCTCCTCTCTCCTCTCTCCTCTGTCCTCTGTCCTCTGTCCTCTCTCCTCTGTCCTCTCTCCTCTCTCCTCTGTCCTCTCTCCTCTGTCCTCTGTCCTCTCTCCTCTCTTCTCTGCCCTCTCCTCTTCTCTCCTCTGTCCTCTCTCCTCTGTCCTCTGTCCTCTCTCCTCTGTCCTCTGTCCTCTCTCCTCTGTCCTCTGTCCTCTGTCCTCTCTTCTCTGTCCTCTCCTCTTCTCTCCTCTGTCCTCTCTCCTCTGTCCTCTGTCCTCTCTTCTCTGTCCTCTCCTCTTCTCTCCTCTGTCCTCTCTCCTCTGTCCTCTGTCCTCTCTCTCCTCTGTCCTCTGTCCTCTCTCCTCTGTCCTCTCTCCTCTGTCTCGACCAGAGAGAGACCAGAGAGAGACCAGAGAGAGACCAGAGAAAGACCAGAGAGAGACCAGAGAGAGACCAGAGAGAGACCAGAGAGAGACCAGAGAGAGACCAGAGAAAGACCAGAGAAAGACCAGAGAGAGACCAGAGAGAGACCAGAGAGAGACCAGAGAGAGACCAGAGAGAGACCAGAGAAAGACCAGAGAGAGACCAGAGAGAGACCAGAGAGAGACCAGAGAGAGACCAGAGAGAGACCAGAGAGAGACCAGAGAGAGCCCAGAGAGAGCCCAGAGAGAGACCAGAGAGAGACCAGAGAGAGACCAGAGAGAGACCAGAGAGAGACCAGGGAGACCAGAGAGAGACCAGAGAGAGAGACCAGAGAGAGACCAGGGAGACCAGAGAGAGACCAGAGAGAGACCAGAGAGAGACCAGAGAGAGACCAGAGAGACCAGAGAGAGACCAGAGAGACCAGAGAGAGACCAGAGAGAGACCTGCTGCTGCTACTACCAGGAGGAGTTCACTTTTACATAGAAGTCAACAGGAGCCAAACTTCACCACGAGCACTTCCCTATTGGGCTTCGTTGAGCTAGCATGTTAGCATGTTAGCATTGTCCGTCTGTAAACAGCGACTCCTCCATGGTCAGTTGATCATTAGCCCTGTTTCGTCCCTGTTTCTTTAAAGCTGAGGTCCAAAAACCTTTAGACTCAAAGACATTTCTGGCTGTTGAGCTGCAGACACACACACACTCTGTTCACTGTGGAACCTGCGGGTCTTCACACCGAGGGATCTCTCTCTGCATCGAGTCGTGTGTGATCCGTGACCCACTGATGTTTTGAATCAATAACGACTCGAGCAGTTTCCATTTTAATTATGTTCTATTTTTAAACTTCAGGAAAAACAAGAGTAGAACAAACTCCTGCTTCGCCGGCTTCAGGGTTTCCATGGTGACCCGGTCCACAGCCTCAGTCCTGGGTCTACAGCCTCAGTCCTGGGGTCACACAGCCTCAGTCCTGGGTCCCACAGCCTCAGTCCTGGGATCTACAGCCTCAGTCCTGGGTCTACAGCCTCAGTCCTGGGTCTACTCTCAGTCCTGGATCTACAGCCTCAGTCCTGGGTCCACAGCCTCAGTCCTGGGGTCAGCCTCAAGTCTGGTGTCCACAGCCTCAGTCCTGGGTCTACAGCCTCAGTCCTGGGTCTACAGCCTCAATCCTGGGTCTACAGCCTCAGTCCTGGGTCTACACGCCTCAGTCCTGGGTCTACGGCCTCAGTCCTGGGTCTACAGCCTCAGTCCTGGGTCTACGGCTCAGTCCTGGGTCTACAGCCTCAGTCCTGGGTCTACAGCCTCAGTCCTGGGTCTACGGCCTCAGTCCTGGGTCTACGGCCTCAGTCCTGGGTCTACAGCCTCAGTCCTGGGTCTACAGCCTCAGTCCTGGGTCTACTGCCTCAGTCCTGGGTCTAACGGCCTCAGTCCTGGGTCTACAGCCTCAGTCCTGGGTCTACAGCCTCAGTCCTGGGTCTTACAGCCTCAGTCCTGGGTCTACAGCCTCAGTCCTGGGTCTACAGCCTCAGTCCTGGGTCTACTGCCTCAGTCCTGGGTCTACAGCCTCAGTCCTGGGTCTACAGCCTCAGTCCTGGGTCTACAGCCTCAGTCCTGGGTCTACAGCCTCAGTCCTGGGTCTACAGCCTCAGTCCTGGGTCTACAGCCTCAGTCCGGGGTCTACAGCCTCAGTCCTGGGTCTACAGCCTCAGTCCTGGGTCTACAGCCTCAGTCCTGGGTCTACAGCCTCAGTCCTGGGTCTACAGCTCAGTCCTGGGTCTTCAGCCTCAGCCTCAGTCCTGGGTCTACAGCTCAGTCCTGGGTCTACAGCCTCAGTCCTGGGTCTACAGCCTCAGTCCTGGATCTACAGCCTCAGTCCTGGGTCTACAGCCTCAGTCCTGGTTCAGCCTCAGTCCTGGGTCTACAGCCTCAGTCCTGGGTCTACAGCCTCAGTCCTGGGTCAGCCTCAGTCCTGGATCTACAGCCTCAGTCCTGGGTCTACAGCCTCAGTCCTGGGATCAGCCTCAGTCCTGGGTCTACAGCCTCAGTCCTGGGTCTACAGCCTCAGTCCTGGGTCTACAGCCTCAGTCCTGGGTCTACAGCCTCAGTCCTGGGTCTACTGCCTCAGTCCTGGGTCTACAGCCTCAGTCCTGGGTCTACAGCCTCAGTCCTGGGTCTACAGCCTCAGTCCTGGGTCTACAGCCTCGAGTCCTGGGTCTACGGCCTCAGTCCTGGGTCTACAGCCTCAGTCCTGGGTCTACAGCCTCAGTCCTGGGTCTACAGCCTCAGTCCTGGGTCTACAGCCTCAGTTCTCCTCGGGTCTACAGCCTCAGTCCCTGGGTCTACAGCCTCAGTCCTGGGGGTCTACAGCCTCAGTCCTGGGTCTACAGCCTCAGTCCTGGGTCTACAGCCTCAGTCCTGGGTCTACAGCTTCAGTCCTGGGTCTACAGCCTCAGTCCCTGGGTCTACAGCCTCAGTCCTGGGTCTACAGCCTCAGTCCTGGCGGTCTACAGCCTCAGTCCCTGGGTCTACAGCCTCAGTCCTGGGTCTACAGCCTCATCCTGGGTCCACAGCCTCAGTCCTGGGTTACAGTCCTCAGTCCTGGGTCTACAGCCTCAGTCCTGGGTCTACAGCCTCAGTCCTGGTCTACAGCCTCAGTCCTGGGTCTACAGCCTCAGTCCTGGGTCCCACAGCCTCAGTCCTGGGTCAAACAGCCTCAGTCCTGGGTCTACAGCCTCAGTCCCTGGGTCTACAGCCTCAGTCCTGGATCTACAGCCTCAGTCCTGGGTCTACAGCCTCAGTCCTGGGTCTTTACTGCCTCAGTCCTGGTCTAACAGCCTCAGTCCTGGGTCTACAGCCTCAGTCCTGGGTCTACAGCCTCAGTTCCTGGGTCTACAGCCTCAGTCCTGGGTCTACAGCCTCAGTATAAATACTACATTATTTATACTGTATATATATATAGGACTGTTTCTACAGACTCACAGTGTTATAACCTGTGTGTTCAGGACACAGAGTAAGGAGAACATGCATCACTCTGTCTACAGCTGTAGAAAGTATAGTTTCTCTGTTTAGTCTGTGATTTAATCTTAAACTGTGGGATCCAGATTATAATCTCAACTCCTGACAGAAAGTTCTTTCACTTATCCACAAAATGTGGAATTCTCTCTCTCTCTCCTCTTTCCTCATTCTCTCTGCTCTCCTCATCCTCTCCTCATCCTCTCTCTCTCCTCTCTCCTCTCTCCTCTGTCCTCTGTCCTCTGTCCTCTCTCCTCTGTCCTCTCTCCTCTCTCCTCTGTCCTCTCTCCTCTGTCCTCTGTCCTCTCTCCTCTCTTCTCTGCCCTCTCCTCTTCTCTCCTCTGTCCTCTCTCCTCTGTCCTCTGTCCTCTCTCCTCTGTCCTCTGTCCTCTCTCCTCTGTCCTCTGTCCTCTGTCCTCTCTTCTCTGTCCTCTCCTCTTCTCTCCTCTGTCCTCTCTCCTCTGTCCTCTCCTCTTCTCTCCTCTGTCCTCTCTCCTCTGTCCTCTGTCCTCTCTCCTCTGTCCTCTGTCCTCTCTCCTCTGTCCTCTCTCCTCTGTCCTCTGTCCTCTCTCCTCTGTCCTCTCCTCTCTCCCCTTCTCTTTCTCCTCTCCTCTCTCCGCTCTTTCCACTCCTCTCTCCTCTCTCCTTACATGTTGTTCATGTCCTGTCCTGCTGGATGAGGTCCTTTGTGAAGTGTTCAAAGTTTACGTTTTGATTTGGTCTCGTGTTGGTCTTGTGTTGTCTCATGTTGTCTCATGTTGGTCTCATGTTGGTCTCGTTTTGGTCTCATGGTCTCTTGCTGGTCTTCTGCGCAGGGACATGACGGAGGTGGTCCACATCAAAGACCGGAAGGAGGTGATCCATGAGATGAAGTTCTCTCCTGACGGGGCGTACCTGGCCGTGGGCTCCAACGATGGACTGGTGGACGTCTACGCTGTGGCTCAGAGATACAAGAAGGTCAGGTCCCTGCTGCCCGAGGGTGGCATCACCATGGCAACACGTGTGAGGAGATAGTGTCCGAATGTGGCATAACCATGGCAACACGTGTGAGGAGATAGTGTCCAAGTGTGGCATAACCATGGCAACACGTGTGAGGAGATAGTGTCCGAGTGTGGCATAACCATGGCAACACGTGTGAGGAGATAGTGTCCGAGTGTGGCATAACCATGGCAACACGTGTGAGGAGATAGTGTCCGAGTGTGGCATCACCATGGCAACACGTGTGAAGAAATAGTGTCTGAGTGTGACATCACCATGGAAACACGTGTGAAGAGATAGTGAGTGTGACATCACCATGGCAACATGTGTAAGGAGATAGTGTCAGAGTGTGACATCACCATGGCAACACGTGTGAGGAGATAGTGAGTGTGACATCACCATGGCAACACGTGTGAGGAGATAGTGTCCGAGTGTGGTATCACCATGGCAACACGTGTGAGGAGATAGTGTCCGAGTGTGACATCACCATAGCAACACGTGTGAGGAGATAGTGTCCGAGTGTGGCATAACCATGGCAACACGTGTGAGGAGATAGTGTCCGAGTGTGGCATAACCATGGCAACACGTGTGAAGAGATAGTGTCCGAGTGTGGCATCCCCATGGCAACACGTGTGAAGAAATAGTGTCTGAGTGTGACATCACCATGGAAACACGTGTGAAGAGATAGTGAGTGTGACATCACCATGGCAACATGTGTAAGGAGATAGTGTCAGAGTGTGACATCACCATGGCAACACGTGTGAGGAGATAGTGTCCAAGTGTGGTATCACCATGGCAACACGTGTGAGGAGATAGTGTCCGAGTGTGACATCACCATAGCAACACGTGTGAGGAGATAGTGTCCGAGTGTGGTATCACCATGGCAACACGTGTGAGGAGATAGTGTCCGAGTGTGACATCACCATGGCAACACGTTTGAGGAGATAGTGGGTGTGACATCACCGTAGCAACACGTGTGAAGAGATAGTGTCCGAGTGTGACATCACCATGGCAACCTGTTTGAAGAGATAGTGAGTGTGGCATCACCACGGCAACACGTGTGAGGAGATAGTGTCCGAGTGTGACATCACCATGGCAACACGTGTGAGGAGATAGTGAGTGTGACATCACCATGGCAACACGTGTGAGGAGATAGTGTCCGAGTGTGACATCACCACGGCAACACGTGTGAGGAGATAGTGTTCAAGTGTGACATCACCATGGCAACACGTGTGAAGAGATAGTGTCCAAGTGTGACATCACCATGGCAACACGTGTGAGGAGATAGTGTCCGATTGTGACATCACCATGGCAACACGTGTAAGGAGATAGTGAGTGTGACATCACCATGGCAACACGTGTGAGGAGATAGTGTCCGAGTCTGACATCACCATCGCAACACGTGTGAGGAGATAGTGTCCGAGTGTGGCATCACCATGGCAACACGTGTGAGGATCCCTGCAGCAGAAACACATTCATTCATACAAATAAATAAATACATACATTTAAAAGTTACTAACAATAGTGATAAAGTGCAGCAGCATATTAGGATGATGAGCGCTTTCTTTATGTGTGTGTGTGTGTGTGTGTACTGTGTGTGTGTGCGTGTGTACTGTGTGTGTGCGTGTGTTTGTGTGTGTGTTTGTGTGTGTGTGTGTGTGTGTGCAGGTGGGAGAGTGCAGTAAGTCCAGCAGTTTCATCACTCACATGGACTGGTCTGTGGACGGAAAAGTCCTGCAGACCAACGATGGAGCAGGACAGAGGCTCTTCTACAGAATGCCCTGTAAGACACACACACACACACACACACACACACACACACACACAGACACACAGACACACAGACACACACACACACACACACACACACACACACACACGCACAGACACACACACACACAGAGACACACACAGACAGACAGACACACACAGATACACACACACATGCACACAGACACACACACATTATACAACACTCACACTCACAATGTTATGTGTTGTTCTGGTCTCCTCTGCAGTGTTAGGTGTTGTTCTGGTCTCCTCTGCAGTGTTAGGTGTTGTTCTGGTCTCCTCTGCAGTGTTTTGTGTTGTTCTGGTCTCCTGTGCAGTGTTTTGTATTGTTCTGGTCTCCTCTGCAGTGTTAGGTGTTGTTCTGGTCTCCTCTGCAGTGTTTTGTGTTGTTCTGGTCTCCTCTGCAGTGTTTTGTGTTGTACTGGTCTCCTCTGCAGTGTTATGTGTTGTTCTGGTCTCCTCTGCAGTGTTATGTGTTGTTCTGGTCTCCTCTGCAGTGGGTAAACCAGCGCTGAGCAGAGAGGAGGTGAAGGGGCAGCGCTGGGCCTCGTGGAGCGGCGTGCTGGGGTCAGAGGTCAGCGGGATCTGGCCCAAGTATTCGGACACGACGGAGGTGAACGCGGTGGATGCTAACCACTCTGCCGCTGTGCTGGTCTCCGGGGACGACCTGGGACTGGTCAAGCTCTACAGGTTCCCCTGCCACAGGAAAGGTGAGAGCAGCTGAAGGGTCCGAGGGTTGTGTCTGTTATACCTCATTTTAACTTTATTTGTATGGCACAGTTTATTCACCAATGATCAACAAAACACAATACAGTCACACACAAGGCATTACAACCATAAAGAATCACATTTAGGAAGAGTCTAGATAAAATCCATCAGAACTTGTTTTAACCTGGATTTGAACATTGTTGAGTAGAAGCCTGTCTCACATTTTCAGGAAGACTGTTTCAGATTTTAGCATGAATCTGAAACACTACCTCCTCAGGTTTAGTCCTGGCTCTGGGACCTACAGGAGGCCAGTCCCTGTGCTCCTCAGAGTCCCAGCAGGAGGCCAGTCCCTGTGCTCCTCAGAGTCCCAGCAGGAGGCCAGTCCCTGTGCTCCTCAGAGTCCCAGCAGGAGGCCAGTCCCTGTGCTCCTCAGAGTCCCAGCAGGAGGCCAGTCCCTGTGCTCCTCAGAGTCGCAGCAGGAGGCCAGTCCCTGTGCTCCTCAGAGTCCCAGTAGGAGGCCAGTCCCTGAGCACAAACACCAGCCAACATTTATTTATATAGCACAGTCCAAACAGATCGACCCAAAGTGCTTCACATTGGCAACACTTAAAACATGATATCTGTTTTATAAGGAGCCAAGTTCAAGAAGTACAACGGTCACTCGGCCCATGTGACCAACGTGCACTGGTCACATGACCTGCAGTGGGTGCTGACCACAGGCGGGGCTGACCACGCCCTCTTCCAGTGGAGGTTCCTCCCAGAGTCTGTGATGAACGGAGGAGAGGACATCAATCTACAAGGTGAGATGAGTCTGACACGCTTCATACATGTGTAGTGTATGTTCTCTGACATGCTTCATACATGTGTAGTGTATGTTCTCTGACACGCTTCATACATGTGTAGTGTATGTTCTCTGACACGCTTCATACATGTGTAGTGTATGTTGTCTAACACGCTTCATACATGTGTAGTGTATGTTGTCTGACACGCTTCATACATGTGTAGTGTATGTTCTCTGACACGCTTCATACATGTGTAGTGTATGTTCTCTGACACGCTTCATACATGTGTAGTGTATGTTGTCTGACACGCTTCATACATGTGTAGTGTATGTTGTCTGACACGCTTCATACATGTGTAGTGTATGTTGTCTGACACGCTTCATACATGTGTAGTGTATGTTGTCTGACACGCTTCATACATGTGTAGTGTATGTTCTCTGACACGCTTCATACATGTGCAGTGTATGTTGCCTGACACGTTTCAAACATGTGTAGTGTATGTTGTCTGACACGCTTCATACATGTGTAGTGTATGTTCTCTGACACACTTCATACATGTGTAGTGTATGTTGTCTGACACGTTTCATACATGTGTAGTGTGTCATACGTGTGTAGTGTATGTTGTCTGAGACGCTTCATACATGTGTAGTGTATGTTCTCTGACACGCTTCATACATGTGTAGTGTATGTTCTCTGACACGCTTCATACATGTGTAGTGTATGTTGTCTGACACGCTTCATACATGTGTAGTGTATGTTGTCTAACACGCTTCATACATGTGTAGTGTATGTTGTCTGACACGCTTCATACATGTGTAGTGTATGTTCTCTGACACGCTTCATACATGTGTAGTGTATGTTGTCTGACACGCTTCATACATGTGTAGTGTATGTTGTCTGACACGCTTCATACATGTGTAGTGTATGTTCTCTGACACGCTTCATACATGTGTAGTGTATGTTCTCTGACACGCTTCATACATGTGTAGTGTATGTTGTCTGACACGCTTCATACATGTGTAGTGTATGTTGTCTGACACGCTTCATACATGTGTAGTATATTTTCTCTGACACGCTTCATACATGTGCAGTGTATGTTCTCTGACACGCTTCATACATGTGTAGTGTATGTTGTCTGACACGCTTCATACATGTGCAGTGTATGTTGTCTGACACGTTTCATACATGTGTAGTGTATGTTGTCTGACACGTTTCATACATGTGTAGTGTATGTTGTCTGACACGCTTCATACATGTGTAGTGTATGTTGACATGAGATGTGGATCACTTTCTTTCAGACAATCACGGAGACTCCAACAGTGAGGAGTCAGACAGCGACATGTCTGATGTGCCAGAACTGGACTCTGACATAGAGCAGGAGACGCAGATCAACTACGACCGACAGGTACGAGACCAGGAGAGAGGAGAGGAGAGGAGAGGAGAGGAGAGAGGGGAGAGGGGAGGAGAGGAGAGGAGGAGAGAGGGGAGGAGAGGGGAGAGGGGAGAGGGGAGGAGAGGAGAGGAGAGGAGAGGGGAGAGGAGGAGAGAGGAGAGAGGAGAGAGGAGAGGAGAGGAGAGGAGGAGAGAGGGGAGGAGAGGGGAGAGGGGAGGAGAGGGGAGAGGAGGAGAGAGGAGAGAGGAGAGGAGAGGAGAGAGGAGGAGGGTAGAGGAGAGGAGAGGAGAGGAGAGGAGAGTAGAGGAGAGGAGAGGAGAGGAGAGGAGAGGATAGGAGAGGGGAGGGGAGGGGAGGGGAGAGAGGGGAGGAGAGGAGAGGGGAGGAGAGGAGAGGGGAGGAGAGGGGAGGAGAGGAGAGAGGAGGAGAGAGGAGAGGAGAGGGGAGGAGAGGAGAGTAGAGGAGAGAGGAGAGGAGGGGACAAGGAGTTCTAGCGTCTCCTTGTCCCCTGCTGCTCCTCCTGCTGCTCCTCCAAATCTCTGCGACATAATCGTCAGCAGCTCTTGTGTTTCCCGTGTGTATCTCGTGTGTGTCCCGTGTGTATCTCGTGTGTTTCTCGTGTGTGTCTTGTGTGTATCTCGTGGGCCTGTGCAGAGTGGGTCTGTGTTGCCGTGGTAACGCTGACACACCGTTCCCTTATCTCTGAGCACAGCTGCCGTCTGCAGCAGCGAGAGCCGTGAAAGGATGAAACTCTACAGAATATACAAAAACATGTTCATGTGTCGTCTTTACACAAAATCACCAAAGGTACCTGTGTGCCACCAAAGGTACCTGTGTGCCACCAAAGGTACCTGTGTACCACCAAAGGTACCTGTGTACCACCAAAGGTACCTGTGTGCCACCAAAGGTACCTGTGGTACCTGTGTACCACCAAAGGTACCTGTGTGCCACCAAAGGTACCTGTGTGCCACCAAAGGTACCTGTGTGCCACCAAAGGTACCTGTGTACCACCAAAGGTACCTGTGTGCCACCAAAGGTACCTGTGGTACCTGTGTACCACCAAAGGTACCTGTGTGCCACCAAAGGTACCTGTGTGCCACCAAAGGTACCTGTGTGCCACCAAAGGTACCTGTGTACCACCAAAGGTACCTGTGTACCACCAAAGGTACCTGTGTACCACCAAAGGTGCTTAAAGCTTTTTGCTTCAGCCTTCTCCTTTTGAGCAGAATTTAACACAGGACGGCACAGTGGCTGAGTGGTTAGCACTCTCGCTTCTCTGCAAGAAGCAAGCGGAACAGGGCCTTTCTGAGTGGAGTTTGCATGTTCTCCCTGTGTCTGTGTAGGGTTCCTCCGGGTGCTCTGGTTTCCCCACCAATGATTTTGATGGATAAGTAGGAGGGGGCGGAGCCATGAGCACCCTGAAGCAGGAGTCTGCAGCAGGAGTCTGCAGCAGGCGTCTGCAGCAGGAGTCTGTAGCAGGAGCAGCAGAAGTCTGCAGCAGGCGTCTGCAGCAGGCGTCTGCAGCAGGCGTCTGCAGCAGGAGTCTGCAGCAGGAGTCTGCAGCAGGCGTCTGCAGCAGGCGTCTGCAGCAGGAGTCTGCAGCAGGAGTCTGCAGCAGGAGTCTGTAGCAGGAGCAGCAGAAGTCTGTAGCAGGAGCAGCAGAAGTCTGCAGCAGGCGTCTGCAGCAGGCGTCTGCAGCAGGAGTCTGCAGCAGGAGTCTGCAGCAGGCGTCTGCAGCAGGCGTCTGCAGCAGGCGTCTGCAGCAGGAGTCTGCAGCAGGAGTCTGCAGCAGGAGTCTGCAGCAGGAGTCTGCAGCAGGAGTCTGCAGCAGGAGTCTGCAGCAGGAGTCTGCAGCAGGAGTCTGTAGCAGGAGCAGCAGAAGTCTGTAGCAGGAGCAGCAGAAGTCTGCAGCAGGCGTCTGCAGCAGGAGTCTGCAGCAGGAGTCTGCAGCAGGAGTCTGCAGCAGGAGTCTGCAGCAGGAGCAGTTGTGACTTTGTGCTCTGTGCTGCAGGTTTATAAAGAGGACTTGCCCCAACTGAAGCAGCAGAGTCGGGATAAGAAGCAGCAGGTGGGCTCCCTGAAGAGACAGAGGGGCCCGGAGCAGAGCCTGCAGCTCAAGTTTGTCCACGGGTAACTATATACTATGTATCTATACTGTATGTATACAGAGACATTTATGTATATATACTGTATGTATACAGAAACATTCATAAACATCCCATTCGCTTTGGAAAACACACAGTAGGAGTGAGTTTGGAGCTGCCTGCCACACACACACACACACAGACACACACACACACACACACACACAGACACACACAGACACACACTCACACACACATCCACCCGATCATTCGCTTCTGAAACACACAGCAGGAGTGAGTTTGGAGCTGCCTGGTCACCTTCATTATAGATGGAGTGTTTTTTCTCTGAGATTGTGCTGTTTTTGTTCTATCTCTGAATTTGGACACTCTTCATTGTCCCTGCTGAAGAAAAGCAGCCCCACAGTATGATGCTACCACCCCCAGGTTTAACAGTGGCAGTTTTGTTCATTGTTTTTCCTCGTTACAGATGTTCAGATGTGTTCAGTTCCATCCCCTCAGAATGGGACTTCCATAATGCCCCATGAACACAGGCCTCACACATTCGTCCACGTGTCTTCCTGTTTGTGTAGTTACCGTGGTTACGACTGCCGGAACAACCTGCTGTACACCCAGAGCGCGGAGGTGCTGTACCACGTGGCGGCGGTGGGCGTGGTCTACAACCGCCAGCTCCACACGCAACGCTTCTACCTCGGACACGACGACGACATCCTCAGCCTCAGCATCCACCCGCTCAAGGACTACGCAGCTACAGGACAGGTACACACACACACACACACACACACATGCACGCACACCCCCACACACACACACATCCACCCACTACAGGACAGGTACACAAACACAGACACACACACACACACACACACACAGGACACAGGTGTGAGACACGGTGTGGTGTGTGTGGTTCTGGTTCTGTGTTATTATTTCATTCAGAGTTCACTGTTTATGAGGAAATACACTTTTTTCAGTAAACGAGGTTGAAATGATGTATAACATGCCTGACAGTACAGGCTGATGTCCACTAGGGGGCGACATGTTGGAGTGAGTCACTGCGTGTCTGTTGCAGGTGGGCCGCGACCCCGCCATCCACGTGTGGGACGTCCAGACCCTGAAGTGTCTGTCTCTGCTGAAGGGACACCACCAGAGAGGGGTCTGTGCCCTGGACTTCTCAGGTACTGGAGGAGCACAGGGACTGGAGGAGCACAGGGACTGGAGGACTCACAGGGACTAGAGGAGCACAGGGACTGGAGGAGCACAGAGACTGCAGGACCACAGGGACTGGAGGACTCACAGGGCCTGGAGGACCACAGGGACTGGAGGACCACAGGGACTGGAGGACTCACAGGGCCTGGAGGACCACAGGGACTGGAGGACCACAGGGACTGGAGGACTCACAGGGACTGCAGGACCACAGGGACTGCAGGACCACAGGGACTAGAGGATCACAGGGACGGGAGAATGTCTGACTTATGTGTGTGTTGCAGCTGAAGGGAAGTCTCTGGTCTCTGTGGGGCTGGACGATGGACACTCAGTGGTCATCTGGGACTGGAAGAGAGGAGAGAAACTCGCCACTGCCAGGTACAGCAAAGGGACAGGTACAGCAAAGGGACAGGTGCAGCAAAGGGACAGATGCAGCAAAGGGACAGGTGCAGCAAAGGGACAGGTACAGCAAAGGGACAGGTACAGCAAAGGGACAGGTACAGCAAAGGGACAGATGCAGCAAAGGGACAGGTGCAGCAACGGGACAGGTACAGCAAAGGGACAGATGCAGCAAAGGGACAGATGCAGCAAAGGGACAGGTGCAGCAAAGGGACAGGTACAGCATGGACCTGAAGCATCAGGACATGGTGACAGTAGATAACAGCAGGTAACAGTATAAACAGCAGGTAACAGTATAAACAGCAGGTAACATCAGGTAACAGCAGGTAACAGTATAAACAGTAGGTAACATCAGGTAACATCAGGTAACAGCAGGTAACATCAGGTAACAGCAGGTAACAGTATAAACAGTAGGTAACATCAGGTAACAGCAGGTAACAGTATAAACAGTAGGTAACATCAGGTAACATCAGGTAACAGCAGGTAACAGCAGGTAACAGTATAAACAGTAGGTAACATCAGGTAACAGCAGGTAACAGTATAAACAGTAGGTAACATCAGGTAACAGCAGGTAACAGTATAAACAGTAGGTAACATCAGGTAACAGCAGGTAACAGTAGGTAACATCAGGTAACAGTATAAACAGCAGGTAACAGCAGGTAACAGCAGGTAACATCAGGTAACAGTAGGTAACAGTAGGTAACAGCAGGTAACAGTATAAACAGTAGGTAACATCAGGTAACATCAGGTAACAGCAGGTAACAGTAGGTAACATCAGGTAACAGTATAAACAGTAGGTAACATCAGGTAACAGCAGGTAACAGTATAAACAGTAGAATTGTTATAAACATTAAAGTCTGTGTTTTTTCAGGGGCCACAGGGACAAGATCCTGGTGGTGAAGTGTAACCCTCTGCTCATGGACCAACTGGTGACTGTGGGCATCAAACACATCAGGTTCTGGCAGCACACAGGTACAGCTTCTGACCGCCCTATCACAGGTACAGCTTCTGACCGCCCTATCACAGGTACAGCTGCTGACCGCCCTATCACAGGTAGAGCTTCTGACCGCCCTATCACAGGTACAGCTGCTGACCGTTCTATATCAGGTACAGCTGCTGACCGCCCTATCACAGGCACAGCTGCTGACCGCCCTATCACAGGCACAGCTTCTGACCGTCCTATCACAGGCACAGCTTCTGACCGTCCTATCACAAGTACAGCTGCTGACCGCCCTATCACAGGTACAGCTGCTGACCGCCCTATCACAGGCACAGCTTCTGACCGTCCTATCACAAGTACAGCTGCTGACCGCCCTATCACAGGCACAGCTTCTGACCGTCCTATCACAGGTACAGCTTCTGACCGTCCTATCACAGGTACAGCTGCTGACCGCCCTATCACAGGCACAGCTTCTGACCGACCTATCACAAGTACAGCTGCTGACCGCCCTATCACAGGCACAGCTTCTGACCGTCCTATCACAGGTACAGCTTCTGACCGTCCTATCACAGGTACAGCTGCTGACCGCCCTAGCACAGGTACAGCTTCTGACTGCCCTATCACAGGTACAGCTGCTTACCGGTCTATATCAGGTACAGCTGCTGACCGCCCTATCACAGGTACAGCTTCTGACCGCCCTATCACAGGTACAGCTGCTGACCGCCCTATCACAGGTACAGCTTCTGATCACTCTATATCAGGTACAGCTGCTGACCGCCCTATCACAGGTACAGCTGCTGACTGCCCTATCACAGGTACAGCTTCTGATCACTCTATATCAGGTACAGCTGTTGACCGCCCTATCACAGGTACAGCTGCTGACCGCTCTATATCAGGTACAGCTGCTGACCGCCCTATCACAGGCACAGCTGCTGACCGCCCTATCACAGGTACAGCTGCTGACCGCCCTATCACAGGTACAGCTTCTGATCACTCTATATCAGGTACAGCTGCTGACCGCCCTATCACAGGTACAGCTGCTGACCGCTCTATATCAGGTACAGCTGCTGACCGTCCTATCACAGGTACAGCTGCTGACCGCCTTATCACAGGTACAGCTGCTGACCGCCCTATCACAGGCACAGCTGCTGACCGGTCTATATCAGGTACAGCTGCTGACTGCCTTATCACAGGTACAGCTGCTGACCGCCCTATCACAGGCACAGCTGCTGACCGGTCTATATCAGGTACAGCTGCTGACCGTCCTATCACAGGTACAGCTGCTGACCGCCTTATCACAGGTACAGCTGCTGACCGCCCTATCACAGGTACAGCTGCTGACCGCTCTATATCAGGTACAGCTGCTGACCACCCTATCACAGGTACAGCTGCTGACCGCTCTATATCAGGTACAGCTGCTGACCGTCCTATCACAGGCACAGCTTCTGACCGTCCTATCACAGGTACAGCTGCTGACTGCCTTATCACAGGTACAGCTGCTGACCGCCCTTTATAATTAAGTGTATTTAGGGTTCAAATTTTAGAATAGAATTAAATATTTGGCACATTAACCAAAGCTATCAGCTAATAGTAATTATTGAAAATCATTGAAGGGGCCACTGAAATGCTCTGGCGGGCCGCATTTGGCCCGTGGGCCTCGTGTTGGACACCTGTGTCTTGGAGGTAAACTCAGAGATAAATGTCGTATTATAGATTTTAAGGACTCAAGCGACACGTTGTGGAGTAACTTCACTCGTTTATTTTACGTCGCTCCGAACCATTCAACATGTACAAGTATCTCTTCAACACTTCCGTACTTCCGGTTTAAGCCTTCACAATAAGACGTAAAGCTTATTAAAGAATACACCACATCCCCCTTTCTAGTATGAAATGCAAATATACAAACATTAAACAATGCAAATACAAACATTGCATTTTACCGATATTGTAAACTTTTCACAACTTGTGTAAACAACTCAACAATAACCCTTTATAAGTCCAGTCTTTGAGGCTTTATAACCACTCTGCCAAACCTGGTTTTGACAGGACCTGGGGAAGAATACTCAGGCCCGTTAACAGGTGCTCTCTGTTGAACAAACTGGAGAACTTGGCAATTGTGCAGGAGTGATTTCATGCAACGGCAAAAGGTGATGCCTGTTTCTCCTGATAGCACCTGAAGGTCCCTCCACTACATAAGAGCGAGGTGTGGAGTGAGAAGTTATGATAGTACCTTCAGATTTAGAGTCTGTAATCCACACAGGTTGTCCTGGAGAAAGTTGTGGAAGATTCCTCACACGATGTCTCCGGTTAAACGCATCACTGTCCTTCACCCTTTTCTCCCTCTCTCTCCTCTCAATTGAAGAGCTGTCTGGCAGGCTAGGATTGAGCAAAGAAGGAAGTTGTGGTACAGGCGTGCAAAGTCTTCTACCCATAAGTAGTTGTGCTGGACTGTATCCATTTGCTAACGGTGTAGCTCTGTATGCTAAAAGTGCAAGATATGGATCTTTCGCTTTTTTGAGTAACTTTTTAACAGTTTGGACATGACGTTGCTCTGTGCAAACCTAGGGCTGCTTGTAATGTGCTGGAAATCATAGACTGCTGAAAAGTCTTTAAACTCTTGACTCGAGAACTGGTGCCCATTATCGCTATAGAAACGCTCGGGAATGCCATGCCTTGAAAATATTGATTTCAGATGAACAATGACATTTTCTGACCGTGTAGGAGTAAGTTTAGCTATTTCCACAAATCTAGAATAATAATTCAGATTCAGATTCAGATTCAGAAAACTTTATTGATCCCTTAAGGGCAATTGATTTGCTGCAACCTCCGACAGATGTTGTACAAACACATCACAACACTCACTGTGTGTCACTTCCAACAGACAATAGCAAATAATTAAAAGAAAACGACACATTTCACAAAGGTCGGTGTCACTTAATAAACACACTCCCTTCAGAATTCAACAGTTTAGTGACAGAGGGGACAAAAGAGTTGGCGAAACGATTTGTTTTCCGAGAGGGTACATAAAAACGACGTCCAGAAGGCATGAGCGAAAACTCAGAGGACAGAGCATGGAGAGGCTGACCCAAGATACATTTAGCTTTCTTTAGCGCCTGCTCCTCCCAAAGAGACTGTAGGTCTCTTTGTTTAACACCAATAATTTTAGAGCAGATTTTGATAATGTTTTGCAGTTTGTTTTTATCTTTCACAGACAAACCCTTGAACCAGCAAACAAATGAAAATGTTAATATGCTCTCTATAAAACAGCAGTAAAAGTTGCAGAGAATCCTTTTATTTACATTAAAAGAGTTCAGCTTCCTTAGAAGATAGATTCTCTGCTGACCGCGTTTAAAAACGGAGTCTGTATTTGCGTCAAACCGCAACTTGTTGTCCATCCAAGAACCAAGATATTTGTACTTCTCCACCACTTCCACCCCTTCACCATGGATGACACTGCTGCCCAGAGAGGGCGCTGTGGAGCGTCTAAAGTCAATAATCATGTCCTTGGTTTTTGAGACGTTTAGATCCAAGTAGTTGCTGTCGCACCATTGGACAAACTCTGTCAATGCAGGGCCGTGGTTCATTTCAGATCCTGAGAGTAAGGACACCAGGACTGTGTCGTCTGAAAACTTAACCAGGGATCTGTTCTTCTGAGTGACCCGGCAACTGTCTGTGTACAGTATGAACAGCAGAGGGGACATAACACACCCCTGAGGGGATCCTGTGTTAGAGATGGACACTGGGGACATCTGACCATTCACAAGCACTCGCTGGATCCTGTCCGTGAGAAAATTTAAAATCAATAAAAGAAGCTGGTCAGGCAAATTAAAAACAGCGGCAAGTCTTTCAATCAGGATGTGGGGCTGCATCTTATTAAACGCAGAAGAAAAGTCGGCGAACAAAAGTCTTACATGAGCCCCAGTTTTGTCAAGGTGCTTATACACTGTGTTCAGTAGAAAGAGTGTGGCGTCCTCCACCCCCTTGTTTTGCTGGTAGGCAAATTGAAGTGGGTCGAGTTTTCCCTCAGTTAAACATAAAATCTCAGACTTTAAAATTTTTTCAAAAGTTTTCATCACAAGTGATGTAAGTGCGACCGGTCTGAAATCACTCAATTCCTTTGAAGTACTTGATTTAGGAATTGGGATTATAGTTGAAGTTTTCCACAAAACTGGAATCTGACCATGATCTACACAACTTTGAAACAGTCTGCTAAAAACACCACTAAGCTGGGTGGCACAGTGGTGCAGGGTACGCCCACAGATGGCATCAGGACCCCTGGCTTTCCCCACCTTCACTTTTCTAAGTAAGGCAGTCACCTGGTCTTGTGCGATCACAATTCCCCCACTTGACTCGAGAGACTGTTTACAAGCAGAAACCTTATCCAAAAGGTCTGCCCTCTCAAACCGGCTAAAAAAGGAATTAAAAACAGTTGGGAGATCAGAGTCTGGCACTCCTTTTACACGAATAGGTTTATTGTCCCCCTTTCGGTGATTAATGGAAGCCATGCATTTGATGCCTTGCCAGGCCGCTCTAAGGTCACCAGTGCTGTACTTTTCTTCTATTTTGTCCTTATATTTCAGTTTAGCCTTCCTGATCCCATCTCGTACTTCCCTAGAGACCGTTTTCTTCTTCAGGGAGTTCCCACCAGAAGAGTAGACCACTTTCTTTTTGTTAATGATTGATTTAAGCTCTTTGTTAACCCATGGTCTGTTATTTGGATAAACAACAACAGTCTTTGATGGGACAACAGAGTCAACACAGAAAGTGACATATGAAGAGACAGTGTCACATAACTCATTAATGTCCTCACATGAGTTAAAAAAGCCGTTCCAATCCGTACACTCAAAACAAGCTTGAAGTGCTGAGATGCTGTCCTCTGACCAGCACTTCACTGATTTCTCCACCCGGGGTAGTCTCTTAAAAGCAGGAGTGTAGCGGGGCATGAGGTACACACAGTTATGGTATGACGATCCCAGAGGAGGAAGTGGCAGCGATTTATATGCACCACTCACTGAACCAAAGCACAAATCCAGAGTCGTATTCCTCTGTGTTGTGGCACAGGTGACATACTGTTCATAAGTTTTAAAAGTCTTATCAAGACGGCAATAGTTAAAATCACCCAGGATGAACTTTGGTGCATCCGGGCAAATAGCGTCAAGCCGGTGCGTGACGTCACCAATCAGCTGTACCGCGGCGACAGCATCAGCGCGCGGATGAATGTAACAGATTGTGAAAAACAGCTGTTGGAACTCGCGCGGCAAATAAAAAGGACGGAGAGATATAGACAACAGTTCAATGTCTGGGGTACA